ACATATGAGTTGGAGTATATTTTTTTGGGAGTAAGTATTTAGCACCGATATGAGGATGAGTTCAGAGAACTTAAGTCTCCATAAACCATGTAGCCAACGTGGGTATAAATGGTCATACTTTTTAGATGATTCCTTAATGCTTTTTATCATTGACTAGTGGATCCACTTAGTTGAGAGGTTCTATACCCTGGCAAAGTATAGGACAGTTCTGGCAGAGTGGGTGAAACACTGTATCAACACATAGCTAATAGTAATGGTTGTTGGTTAGAGAAACTCCCACAGAGATATTTTGTATTCTTATATACACAGAGTTTACTTTGTATTTTCATATACAAGTAGAGTTTTTCTTGTATCCTTTCATACAAATTGAGTAACTACTGTATTTGTTTCAATACATTAAGTTGTTTTCTATTGTTTTAAAAGCTTTCCATATATCACAACTTTTATCATTGCTTTATCTTGATTTGAGTATTTAGAGTTGAGTATCTTGAGTTGAGTATTATGTCTTTGAGTTGAGTATCTTATTCTTGAGTTGAATTTAGTTGAGTGAGTTGAGAAAGGGTAAGGATGCTTCCTTTTTATCAAGTTCAAGACTATGTTTATGCTTTATAATTCCCCTTACATGCTCGTACATTCCACGTACTAAGCCATTTGTCTTGCATTGTTTAATGATGCAGATACAGGTATTTAGGATCATTAACAGGCGTTTCATTGAGGTCATGTGATATTCCAGTCAGCTTTGGTGAGCCTTGTTATATTCTGGAGGACTTCACCTTTATCTTACAGTTAGTAGTTTTCAGATGTCGTGGGTCTTGTCCCGATATCCTTCTAGAATAGTAGAGGCTTCATAGATAGACAGAGTTGAGGAGTTTTTATATTTACTTTTATTTTGAGTATTGTACAGACTTTTAAAAAGGTTGAGTATTCGAGTTTATTGAATTTATTTTAGTTTTAAGCTTTTGTATGTTTGAGTTAGTCTTCTGCTTCTATCCAGCCAGGATGAGGGTTCTCTCGGGAACCAACAATGGTTCTTGAGTGCCGGCCACGTCCTGGGTGTAGGCTTAGGTCATGACAATTTTTTACACCCGAGCCTACACCCTGGGCGGGACTGGCACTCGAGAACCATTTATGGCCCCAAGCGAACCCTTGGCCTGGCTAGACTCTCAACGGAAGACTTTAAGCATTATTACAAGTATCAAAATGAATTTATTAAACAATTGTCTTCAATTAAACTCAAAACGTTTTAGAATGAAACATTCAACTTGGCCAAAGTGGCAACTCAAGTCTTAACATAAAAAGTAACAATGTAAAGACAATTGAACTACTAACTGTCTATGAAGCCTCTAAAACAAGGAGGGACGTTGGGACAAGACCCCCGATCATCCTAACAACTAAAGTACTAAAGCAATATGATAAAAAGGGGTCCTCCGGATAGCGAGGAGGCTCACCAACTGACTCTGAGTACTCAACTGGATCAACGATGGACTGGATGCTGATCCTGGTTACCTGTGTCTACATCATAAAACGATGCAGGCCAAATGGCATCAGTACATTAAATGTACGAGTATGGGAGGGGAGTACTAAACAAGACATAATCTTGAAAGAAATCTAAAAAGAACACTTACATTGGCTTTACTCGACTCATGAATAACTCAACTCAAATGCAAAGTAAAACAACAATAATGGTGCACTTATACAAAGCATTTAAAACAGGTGGTGGCAACTCAATTTGTTAAAGAAATGCAATAACAACTAAGTTTACATATAAAGTAATATAATATTGTGGGAGTTTCTCTAACCGACAACCATCACTATGAGCCTAAGTGATAATACAGCGTCTCGCCCACGCTGCCAGAATTGTCCTATACTTTGCTATCATATAGAACGCCTCCACTAAGCGGATTTACTAGTCTATGCTAAAAAGCACTAAGGATTCATCTAAAAAGTATGATCCTTTCTACCCATGATGGCTACATGGCTTATGAAGACTTGAGTTATTATAAACTCGCGTCCTCATATCGATGCTCAATACTACTCCCAAAATATACTCAGCTCATATGTTTTTAAAAACAAAACTCTTTTTGTGATTTGAGATAATTACTCAAAAGCCAGCTCAAAGGCTCTCTTGGAAATCGGTGTTTCCTTTCTTGCTCAAATGTGAAAACATTTTAACTCTTTGAAATACTTAATTCCCGTATAATCTTTGAAGAAATGAAGTTTACTCAACTCAAAGATTAAGTCTTAAAACAAAGTTAAAATGTTTGTAAAATTTTGGAAAGCACTATGAACTTCTGTTGACTTAGCTCTTAACCTTTTGACTTGACTCTTAACTTTCCTTGAATTGAATTATGGATTCAAGGTTCATGATCTCATATTTATGGATGATTTCATGATATTTAGATGTACCTTAGAGTATAGAAATCAACTAGAAAACATAGGTACGTTGCTAAGGAACTAGTACGGAAAGAAGGGGGAAAATAGGAGAACTGGCGTCCCTAGCGCTCTAAGAGCCACGGGCTCCAACCCTGAAATTTCAGAGCCTA